CTCAATGGCCGATTCCAGAAGGTGGTGCTGGGGGACTATGGCTCTGCGCCATGGCAGCTATGCCATGGAGTACCGCAGGGGTCCATTTTGTCCCCTTTGCTGTTCAACATCTACATGAAACCGCTGGGAGAGGTCATCAGGAGGTGTGGGCTGCGGAATCATCAGTACGCTGATGATACCCAGCTCTACCTCTTGTTTTCCACCAATCCAGGGGAGGCAGTGGCTGTACTGAACCGGTGCCTGGCCAAGGTAATGGGCTGGATGAGGGTCAATAAACTGAAGCTCAATCCAGACAAGACGGAGGTCCTGTTGGTAGGCGGTTCAGGCTTCGGAGAAGGTGAATTGAACCTTGTCCTGAATGGGGTTGCACTCCCTCCTAGGGATAAGGTCCGCAGCTTGGGAGTGCTCCTTGACCCGGAGCTTTCACTTGAAGATCAGGTAACAGCAGCGGCTAATTCATCAGCTGCACCCCTATCTGGAGTACGACTGCCTTGCAACAGTGACTCATGCACTGGTGACTTCCCGTAACGCACTCTACGTGGGGCTACCCTTGAAGACGGTCTGGATACTTCAATTGGTTCAAAATAGAGCTGCCAGGCTGCTGACGGGGACTGGATGTTATGTTCACATGACTCCAGTTCTCCGTCAGCTTCACTGGCTCCCCATTGAAGTCCGGGCCCAATTCAAGGTGTTGGTGATGACCTATAAAGCCCTAAACGGCTTGGGTCCTGGTTACCTGAAGGAGCGCTTACATCCATATATGCCCAGCCGCCCCCTGAGATCAGCGGGAGAGGCCCTCCTCCAGGAGCCCTCAGTGAAGGAAATTAGGAGGGTGGTTACTCGGAGGAGGGCTTTCTCAGTGGTGGCGCCTAAGTTATGGAATGAGATCCTCAGAGAGGTCTGCCTGGCGCCGTCGTTATTTGCTTTTCGGCGCCAGGCAAAGACCTTTTTATTTAAGCAGCATTTTAAATGTTAATTCCATGGAAATTTTATTTGGCCAGGGCGGCTTATTTTATTCTAATATATATATTTTAATTGTTATTGTTTTAATTTATTGTGCATTTTATTGTATGCTGTGAGCCGCCCCGAGGCTTTGGCAAGGGGTGGCATAGAAATGTTTTAATAAATAAATAAATAATAAATAAATAAATAAATAAATAAATAAATACCTTTAGGACAAGTTCTGTAAGCTGAAATCTGACCAGTCCTTAAGAATGATACATTCTTTGCCCTGTTTGCACATTAATTTCAGCTCAGAGAAAGGCAGGCAGGCAGGCAGGCAGGCAGGCATCCAATCACTTAAAGACACTCTTCCTCCACCCACCAAGGAGTATCAATTGTCACAAACTGCTCAAATTGTCAAACACTGACATCCAATCACTCATTCTTAGTCTCTTGATGCAATTAGCAAATGACTTTATGGCAGGGGTCTCAAACTCAACTTACCTGGGGGCCTCTGTAAGTAGAGTCTGGGTGAGGCTGGGCCCCATCAAGTATTTCACCACCGCAGTGGTGGTGGGCCGCTCATCCCGTGGCCGGCCCGGACGCCAGCGGCGCTTTGAAGGCCGCAGGGCCCCTCCCCCGTGCTCTGCCCGTCCCGGCAATTGGCCTGCAGGCCGCAAGTTTGAGACCCCTGCTTTATGGCATTATCACCTAGTTGAGACTTAGATAAGAGAGAGCTTATTGGTTGGAGGCTTTCCACTTGTAATTGTACCAAATAAGCGAAAAATCCCAAGCCTCTGTGTCAAGCTATAAAATTCCTTTGGTTTAGTAAGTGGAGAGAGAAGGAAAATTAAAACTTGGAAAAAGAAGAGAAAGAGAGAGAAATCAGGGAGGTGATTTTAAAACAATTCCTTGTTTACTTCATTGTGTCATCTTGATGGTATCAGAACCAATCAAGCTTTCCAATCTAAGCCTAATCAGTTCACCTGTCATATAAGTCTTCTGTAGAATGTGGGAAGGTTGCTGAAATTGTCTAGTTATTTGAGGGTTCTGTCTTCTTTTAGGATCCAACCCTACTGCACCTGTGTGCCTCATCCCAAATTGTCAAGTACGGCTTCCAAACTCTCAAGAGATGCTTTTGGGATAGGGTGCACAGGTATATGTAGAGGGGGGCCAGATGCTTGGAAACCAACCTCCGCTGAAGTTATCTTATTACATTCCAAGCCAATGAAAATAACTCATTGTTTCCCCGAACTCCAGCTCCAAAAGCATATTCCAAACTCACTTCTCTCTGTTAAAAATGACAAAATCTTGTTGAATGGCTTCAAGGCATTCCTGGAGGTAGTCATTTTCCTATTAAAACAAAAGGGTATAGTTTAGCTTGTACTTTTTGTCTAAAGTGCCATCAATACTGATGAAGTTTACTCACGTAACATGAATATTAAGTTTGATAAGGATGATACCCCCACATACCCACCTAATGAACTTTGACTCATCCAGATTTTTTTTTTTTATCATTGTTCTGTTTTCATGTTTTCAGGTGACTTTAGAACTATTTTTTCCTTAACAGAGCATGGTATGATATTTCAAGTGTCAGGTCAGAAAGGTAGGTTGCTTAACTTTAACTGCCATTCTTTGAGTGGTCATCTGTGCATTCACACATATGGGATTTTGCTGCTCTGTGTAAGGCCTAGATTGGATAGAAACTGCTACAGCTCAGTGTCACGGAGTGAGTGGGAGTCCCCTGCCCCTTCTGGGTCCCAGGATAAAAAGGGGGCACTCGTACACTTCCTCAGTTGCCTCAGAGACAGCATCATCTCCAGTCATCTGAAAGGATGAGGTCCAGCCCCTCTGTCCACCCTTGAGAGGAGAGGCATGGCCACCTGAGCACAGCCAGCAGGGTACTGTGAATTCACAGATGACCACTTGAAGAACAACAGGACATCTGCCTGTTTCGGTGGCCTGCCACATGAATCACAGTAATGTAGATGTCCCTCTTTAGGCACCACTCCCAGATGGTGGAACCTAGGTTGGAGAGGTGGGCAGAGTAGTCCCTCCCTGTTTGTTTAGGTAATACATGAACATTGTGTTGCCTGTTGCAATTTGGACATGGGGGCCCCACAGGGAGCCCTGGAAAGAGATCAGATCCTTGTGGACAACCAGTATCTCCAGGAAGCTGATATACAGGTTAGATTCATGATGGTCCCAGAGGCCCTGGATATGCAGGTTGCCAGAGTCAGCACCCCATCATGTGATGGAAGTGGATGTTGTGAGCATGACACTGGGTTCTGGGGTGTTGGGGAGAATGGGGACCTGGATAGAGAGATTGGCAGGAGTGGACCACCACTGGAGTGATTTTCTGAGGTGGTGGAGGGGATTATGGCATGGGAGTTGTCATCTGCAGTGAAGGCTTTCATTCACCACAGTTGGAGAGGTCTCATTCAGAGGCAAGCAAGGTGCACTACCAATGGCATGGATGCCATAAAGCTCAGGAGCCTCTGCATGGTATGACTGGTAGAGTAGGCCACGATCCTGAACGTAGCCAGCAAGATGAGCGTCTCTTCTCTTGGCTGTGAGAGGAATGCCTTCACGAGTATGGAATTCAGGCAAGTCTCTATGAAGAGGATGGACTGTGTAAGGGAGAGAACAGACTTGTCCTGGTTAATGAAGAGTCCCAAATCTTGTTGAAATGTGCATGTGGCATATACTGCCTGCAAGATTTCAGGTCTGGAGGGAGCTGTTAGGAGCCAGTCATCTAGGTAAGAAAACAGTTGAATGCCCTGGAGCCTGAACACTGACATACATTTGGTGAAGATGAGGGGTGTGGTAGCCAGGCTAAATGAGAGAACAGAGAACTGGAATGTTTCCTGCCCAATGCAGAAGTGAAGGAAGTGCCTATAGACCTGGTTGATGGTTATGTGGAAATAGGTGTCCCTGAGGTCTATGGAGGCAAAGCAGTCCCCTTGCCTGAGTAGGGGGAGGATGCCCTGTAGGATAGTCATCCAAAATCTCTTCAAGGTAATGAATTTATTTACTCCTCTTAAATCCAAACTTAAATCCATTCAGGAACAGTGCAACATCAGGAATAGAAGCCCCTGTACTAGTCCATGGAGACCACACACTTGCGCACATGCACACACACAGGTATATCTAAAATAAATACAAGATAAAAATATTCTATTGTTAATTATTTTTGTTATTCACCCTAGGATTTTTTTTATGAAGGGCAGGAAACACATGAATAAAATAAACATATTCTACAATAATGCAATACGCAAACATTTGGTTTTATTTCAGAAACTGCAAGGGGCCACTTACAGACTGTGAGCTGTCCTTGCTGTTATCCCTGGATTTATTCTTTGCAAGCCTCTTCTTCTTCTTATGTAGTGGCCTTGACTCCAGGATCATCTCTTCCAGCTCAAAGGTGGGATCACAATGCAGACGGCCTTTCTGTTGTAATCAGACCAAGATATTGATGTGTTTGCATATTTTGCTAAGCAACCGTGAAAATAAATTCTGCAGTGTAGGTTGTTTGTGGAACAACCCACAGTGTGTTCAACAGATGATCAGGCTTGAAATGGCTTGTTCTGCCCCCCTTTGATCCTTAGGCCTCCAACCTTTGTAGCAGAACCCAGCTAGTCTCCTCTTCCCTACTCTGAATATTTTCATTTGCTTTTCCACTTGCTTACCCTTTTTCATTTGCTGCTGTTTTTATTTTTTGCATCCTCAAAAAAGCATAGACAAGTGCATTTTTTTCTTACCCCAGAAAATTGTATTGGGGAAGGGGTTTGTGGTTGATAATGAATTTTCAAAAATGTAAAGTCCATTTGCAGCTGTCTTGCCTGGTCAATTGCCTTGTATGTTTTGACTGTCAATGGATTAATGGCAAAATGCAATAGGAAAAGATTAACAAGACCAGATGTGTGTACAGTTGCCAGGGGCCAATTCCCTAGCTATGAATTGAAAAGCACTGCTGAAGGAGGAGAAGGAGTAGTATAAGGTACATCCAAAGGGAGGAGAAAAAGATCTCCACCTTGTCGATGTGATCCTCTCAGTGTCCTCCACTTGTTCAACACTTACCTGTCCCACTTTCAGGGCCCTTTCTTGGAGCACATATTGCTATGTTACTGCAGCTACCAGTTTTCAAAAACAAAACATAACAGCAGAAATATATACAAATTTAATTGCTGGGAAATAAACAGAGAGTAAACTTGCACATCTACAGAAATGGAG